AAAGCTCACACTGATTCTTCTTCTTTGAACCAGCATCAGGTGACTCATTTAGTTTTCTCTCCTTTTTTGTGTGCTGAAAACTCCATTTCTTATGATACTAAATATTTTTACTTATTTGATCAGGCTCCTTGAGTGTAACCAATTTCCCAAACTCTCTTCAACCCTTTACCTTTGTGGGTATCTCCCCCCCTCCCCATTAAACTGTCACTCCCATTTTGGTTGGCCTTACGAAGGTCCTCTCCTCACCCACGCTGGTCTGACCTTCTTACTTACTATATATTGAGACCCTATCATTAAGAACCCATTCCCACCGGGCAGTGGTAGCGCATGCCTTTAATCCCAGCACTTGGAGGCAGAGGCAGGTGGATCTCTGTGAGTTCGAGGCCAGCCTGGTCTACAAAGTAAATTCCAGGAAAGGCGCAAAGCTACACAAAGAAACCCTATCTCAAAAAACCAAAAAAAAGAACCCATTCTTATAAAAAAGTTTGCTCGATGTCTTCAAATAAATTCAAACTGAAGAACTACACAGAGGCCTGGAGGGCTGGCTCAGTGGTTAAGAGCACTAGTTCTAGTTGGTCTTCCAGAGGACCCTGGTTCAATTCCCAACGCCCACATGGAGCTCACCAAGTGCCTGCAACTTTAGTCGCAGGGTATCTGCATACATGTGCACATACTCACATACATACATATAATAAATAAAAACATAAAATAAATCTGGGGAAAAAAAGACTATACGAAAAGTAGTCATCTTTAGGTGATATGACATATTGCCCATTTCACAAAATGCTACTTTGATGGGGCTGGGGAGGGGGCTCAGAAGTTAAGAGCATGCACTGCTCTTGTGGAGGACCTGGGTTTGAGTCCCAACATCCACACGGTGCTTTACAACCATTTGTAATGCTAGTTCCAGGAGATCCAATGCCTTCTTTTGATCTGTGTGGGAACAAGGTATGGACACAGCACACACAGACATATACACAGGTGAAACATTTATACACATAAAATGAATCTGTAGCTACTGCTTTGAGCAATAAATTGTTCCTTTTACTAGAAAAAAGAAAAAGTTTAAAGGACCCAAAGAGAACCATGAGGAGAAAGGGGGAAAGGCAAAATCAAAGAGAAAAGGAAAGAATACAAACAAGAACAAGTTCCTATCTATTGCACTCACTATAGCAGGCCCTTAACAACACTTGTTAATGGGGCTAAAGAGACAGCTCAGCTACTAAGAGTTCCTATTGAGCTTCCAAAGGACCCAAGTGGCTCACAACTACCTGTAACTCCAGCTCCAGGGGATCAGGCAGAGTCTTCTGGACAACTCATGCACTTACGTATGCACACACACACAAAATAATAAATTTCACCCTTAAGATTCTAAATTCAGGCCGGGCAGTGGTGGCACACACCTTTAATCCCAGCACTCAGGAGGCAGTTAGGTGGATCTCTGTGAGTTCCAGGCCAGCCTGGTCTACAGAGTGATATCCAGGATAGGCACCAAAGCTGCACCGAGAAACCCTGTCTCAAAAAACAAAAACCAAAACAAAAGATTCCAAATTCAGTACAGCTAACCTAGGGTTCCAGACTTGCAAACCACAAGTGATACAGCATAGAATATCATTCAGCACAGAACATGTCAAGATATATAATCAAACATATCAGAATCACCACCTTTATTTTATTTTTAAAGGTTTATATATTTTATGTGTATGAATGATTTGCCTGCATGTGTGTCTATGCACCACATAGATGCAGTGCTCTTAAGAGGACATTAGATCCCCCCAAACCAAAGTTACATATGGTTATTAGTCACCACGTGGGTGTTGGGAACCAAACCCGGGTCCTCTGCAAGAGCAACACGTGCTCTTAACTGCTGAAACATCTCTCCAGCCCCAATTTATTACTATAAGATTCCACTGAAAAAGTAGCAGGGTGAAAACTCAGTGGTAGAGTAAGTCCCTAGCACTTGTGAGGTCCTGTGTTCCAACCACTAGCACCAACAAAATAAACGAATAAATAACATGCAAGCAAGGGCCTGGTGATACAGGCTTTGTGCCTGTTAGTTTTTATGTCAACTTTGACACAAGCTAGACGAGGGAGTTTTAATTGAGAAAATATGTCAATAAGATCAGACCACAGGCAGGCTTGTAGGGAATTTTCTTAATTGGTGATTGATGGGGGAAGGCCCAGCCCATTGTGGGTGGGTGGTCCTGGGTTCTATAAGAAAGCAGGCTGGCCGGGCGGTGGTGGCGCACGCCTTTAATCCCAGCACTCGGGAGGCAGAGGCAGGCGGATCTCTGTGAGTTCGAGGCCAGCCTGGTCTCCAAAGCGAGTTCCAGGAAAGGCGCAAAGCTACACAGAGAAACCCTGTCTCGAAAAACAAAAAAAACAAAAAAAAAACAAAAAAAAAGAAAAAAAGAAAGCAGGCTGGCCGGGCGGTGGTGGCGCACGCCTTTAATCCCAGCACTCGGGAGGCAGAGCCAGGCGGATCTCTGTGAGTTCGAGGCCAGCCTGGGCTACCAAGTGAGTCCCAGGAAAGGCGCAAAGCTACACAGAGAAACCCTGTCTCGAAAAACCAAAAAAAAAAAAAAAAAAAAAAAAAAAAAAAAAAGAAAGCAGGCTGAACAAGCTATGGGGAACAAGCCAGTAAGCAGCCCTCCATGGCCTCTGTATCAGTTCCTGCCCTCCAAGTTTTTGTCTGGTTTGAGTTCCTGTCCTGGCTTCCTTCAGTGATGGACTACAATGTAGAAGTGTAAGCCACATAAATTCTTTCCTCCAAAATTTGCTTTTGGTCATGGTGTTTCACCGCAATACTAGAAACCCTAAGACAGGCCTATAATCTCAACTACTTAGAAGGTAGTAGAAGAGGATTGAGAGTTCAAAGCTAGCTTGGGCTACAAAGGGAGTTCAGGGCCAACTTGGGCAACTTCCTGAGATTCTGTCTTAAAATTAAAAACAATAACAAGATAAAAATTAGAGACCAGAGAGATTGCTCAGCAGTTAAGAGCTCTTTTCTTTTTCACTTTTAGATTTATTTATTTTATGTGTATGAGTGGTTTGTTTGCATGTCTGTATTTGTATCTGCCTGGTGGCAGCAGAGGTTAGAAGAGGCCACCTGATGTTGTATAAACTGGACATATAGGACCCATAGGAAAATGACCACTGAATTTGCCAAAACAAGGTGAAATGGTCCTTCAGGTTCCTGTTTCACAGAGGAGACTGCCAGACATTCTACAGGACACAGGAAAAGGTGACTGAGAGACTAGGCCTATGGGTTAAAATGGATGCCCCTCAACATTGCAGAGGAACTTTGAATGACTGTCCAGGCAACCAGCTATCTCTGTCATTTTAGATTTTTGGAAGCTGCTTACAATGCACTTCCTGTTGACTTAGGTAATATTATATCCTTCTGGGGTCTTTGGTGTAGTTCAAGACTAGATAGTTATAATTTTCCTTGGTTATGATAAAAGATAAATTAGATATAAAACCTTAGACTCACAAATATAGGATAGATATAATATTTTCTTTAAATATGCCAAATATAGACTAGATATTAAAACTGTAATTCTTGCTTGATAACTGTTTTATTATATGTAATTTTACTATGTTAAAATTAAAACCTTTTTGATTAGACAGAAAAGGGGAAGTGCTGTGGGATGTCTTTCTATATGCTGTGACTATGTGTTGCTCTGATTGGTTGATACATAAAGCTGCTTGGCCAATGGTGAGGCAGAATAAGGTTAGGCGGTACATTCCAACTGGAGAGAGAAAAAGAGGAAAGGGGAGGCGGAAGAGGCGCTGAGAGCCGCTTAGCCACGCGGTAAGCCGTGAAGCCACACGACAACTTATAGATAAATAGAAATGGGATAAGTTGTAAGAGCTAGCTAGCAAGAAGCTTGCACCATAGGCCATCCAGTTTGTAAATAATATAAGCCTCTGTGTGTTTACTAAGCAGCTTTGGAATGTGAATGGGAGAGATTTGTCCCGACCGCAGGCCGGGTGGGACACAGGAAAACTTCTGACTATAACCTGATCCTCCAGAACTGGAGTAACAAAAATCTGTGAGCCATCATGTGGGTGCTGGGAATCAAACCCTGGCACTTTACAAGGACAGCTAAGCCATCTCTCCAGCCCCACACTTACTGTTCTTATGGAGAACTAGAAATGTATGTTGCACATGTACAAACATGCAGACAAAACAATCACACATATAAAATAAGTTAAACAAAAAAAGCAACAGCCAGGGAATGTGGCAGCCAGAGAAGGGGGTAAAGTAGTATGCATGTGTGCGTGTTTGCACGTGTGAGTGTGTGTGTATGAACATAGTGTAAGGACATGTATGTGAAACTCATGCATCAGTTGATACTATGAAGCATCATGTCTTTGAGGTAACCTGATTGCTATTTTCCCCTTGTTTGTAGGCTGCGTTTTATTTTGTGACATGAGCATGCTGGATGAAATCATGGACTCTGAAGTCTCAGTGAAATAACAGTCTAAATATTCTGATGGCCATTCTGGACTCACTGAACCAGGTTCTGATTGGTTTTTACTTCCTTGCTACTTACTTAGTTCTTTTTCTTGAGACAGAGCCTGGCTAGACAGCTCAGGATGACCATTCTCCAAAAGTAACAACACTTGGGGTGTTTTTACTGTTGTTATCTGTCTTCTTTTTTTGAGCAGGGTTTCTCTGTTTAACAGTGCTGGCTGGCCTTGAACTCACAGAGATTCACCTGCTTCTGCCTCCCGAGTGCTGGGATTACAGGTGTGCGCCACCACCGCCCGGCTTATTATCTGTGTTTTGAGACTGTCTCACTACACAGCTGAGGTTGGCCAGCACACTAGCTCTACTCTGGGTATTTTTAGTAGGTTCTCCAGGTAATCTTAACAGAGACAGCTTGGGAATCATCAAATTAAATGATCTGTAAGTTCCCATCCTAGGCCACTGTGACCGTTTGCTGAGCTTTTTAGACACCTGTAATTTCATAGCAACCTTGTAAGACACTTACATTAAGAAAGTATACCAGGTGGTGGCGGCTCATGAGGCCAGCCTGGTCCACAGAGGGAGTTCCAGGACAACCAGAGCTATATAGAGAAACCTTGTCTCAGGGGAAAAAAAAAGAAAAGATTAAGAAAACGAAGCTCAGAGAGTGAACTGTTCAAGGTGAACTGCTGAGCCATGAATCAAATCCACACAGTCCATTGATCGCAAGTAGCAATATATTCTATGGTTCTAACAGAATTCTCTAGGGTATTATATTAATTGGTAAATTTTTAAGTGTGCTCTGGAAAATGAGTTAAAACTAAGAGAAGAGTACAACATTGGTATAAAGACAAGATAAAGTTTATATTCTGTCAACTCAACTGCAACACAGACGAGATAATACCTACCTTAACTGTACCATCGTCGCTGCCAGTGCAGACAAGCTGGGGGCCCCGCCTGGCTGGATAACAGGAGTTCACAAAGGAAGTATGTCCCTTCAGCCTTTTAACCCTCTCGCCCGTTTCACTATCCCACACGGCCACAGTTTTATCTGTTGATGCTGAGAAGAGCATGCTAGAAGAGGAACACAAAAGATGTAAGACAAACAATAGGGGCTGGAGTCACGTCAGTGGTTAAGAGCACTGACTGCTCCTCCAGAGGACCTGGGTTTGACTCCCAGCACCCATATAAAGGCCCACAACCAGCTGTAACTCTAGTTCCAGGGGATCTGATGCCCTCTTTGACCTCCACAGGTACTGCATGTATATGGTGCACAGACATACAGGCAGGCAAAACACCTATATAAGTAAAAAAGATAAATCTCAAAACAAAAAAAAGGGGGGTGGGAGAGACAAAAATCTTTTTCACTTGCCAAAATGTGTCAAATTCTTCCAGCTCACTGCCTCCTGCACTGTGAATTAGCTCATGAATCCAGGGTGCCTCATCCTGTCTTTGGCAATCCTATTCACTTTCTGGATTCACTATCAGGTTGACCCACACCACACAACCAATATAGCGGTTTTATCAATCAATCTTTTCCTTCTTTGTGATACACATGGATACAATACTCTCTCACACAGATGTATTTACACACTTCCTGCTGTGGTGGAGGTGAGGCCAACTGCAGTAGTTCTAGATTTCAGAGCTGAGCAATTCTAACCGTTTGTTCTGTCTCTGGGAATGATTTCTACATTAAACTTGATTTTACAATGCCCTCTTTTTCCTTTCAGACAGAACTGTGCTATGTAGCCCAGGCAAGTCTTGAACACAAGATGCTCCTGCCCATTACCGTCCAAGAGCTGAGATTGGAGTACATGTAACAATGCCCATTACAATGCTGAAGAAAAAATTATTTATTTCTAATAAATGTGTTGCTTATAAGTTTGGGCCATACGTGTGTAGTGTCCAGAGGCCAGAAGAGGGTGTTAGATGCTTTGGAATTCAAGTTATTGAAAGTTGTTGGCCAGAATGTGGGTTCTGGGGGCTGACCTGGGTCCTCTGCAAGAGCAGCAAGTGTTTTCTGATGGTTTGAATGAAAATGGTCCCCAAAGGCTCATAAGGAGTGGCAGTATTAGGAGGTGTGGCCTTGCTGGAAAAAGTGTGTCACTGGGGGCAGGTTGTGAGGTCTCAGATGCTCCAGCCAGGCCCAGTGTCACTCTCTCTTCCTGCTGCCTGTGGATCCAGATGTGGAACTCCCAGCTACTTCTCCAGCACCATGTCTGCCTGCATGCTGCCAGGCTTCTTGCCATGACGATAATGGACTAAGTCTCTGAAATATAAGCCAGCCCCAATTAAATGTTTCTCTTTATAAGAGTTGCTATGGCTGTTAGGCAGTGGTGGCGCCCGCCTTTAATTTCAGCACTCAGGAGGCAGAGGCAGGTGGGTCTCTGAGTTTGAGGCCATCCTGGTCTACCTACACAGAGAAACCCTGCCTCGAAAAACAAACAAAACAGAGTTGCTGTGGTCATGGTGTCTCTTCATAGCAATAGAAACACTAACTAAGACATGCTCTTATCCTGAGCTGTCTCTCAGTCCCTTGTAATACTTTCTTAATTTAAAATGTAATGTAATTTTGACTTAATGTACGTAACATTGCAAAATTTGAGATCAGAAATGTAAAACAAGGCAGGTACAGTGTCAAACACCTGTAATCCCAGTTATTCAGGCAGGAGGATTGCAAATTTAAAGCCAGCCTGAGTAAATTACCAAGACTATGATTCAAAGAAAACAAAATAGGTGCTATGGAGATGGCTCAGCTGTTACAAGGACCAGAGTTCAAATCCCCACATAAAACACTGAATATGCCCATGCATACCTGTAACCCTAGCTCTTTGTTGGGGCAGAGACAGGAGGATCATTGGGGTTTGCTGCTCACCAACTCAGCTCTAGACTCAGTGAGAGACCCTGTCTCAAAGAGACTAAAGTACAGAACAAAGATGGACACCTGATACCCCTTTGTCCTCAAATGGACACACACACATGCACTTCACCGCCAAAATACACCATATACAATTAATATAATGTATGTCTTAGAATACAGAAATATGAACAAGTGAAAATAAAAACTGTTTAAAAAGAAAGAAAGGAGCCGGGCGGTGGTGGCGCACGCCTTTAATCCCAGCACTCGGGAGGCAGAGCCAGGTGGATCTCTGTGAGTTTGAGGCCAGCCTGGGCTACCAAGTGAGTTCCAGGAAAGGCGCAAAGCTACACAGAGAAACCCTGTCTCGAAAAACCAAAAAAAAAAAAAAAAAAAAAGAAAGAAAGGAAGATTATGGCTTGACAAGATTGTTCAGAGGGTAAAGATGCCCACTACCAAGCCTGATATGTGATGATCCACATGTAGAAAGAACCGACCCCCAAAAGCTGGCTGCTGACCTCAACAACTGTTCTGTGTCATGTGAAGTCAATACACTCCTTAAAATGTAATTTAAAAAAATAAAGGAAAATTAGCTTGCTTCAATCTTCAGTGCCATAAAAATAAAGTTATCAAAATGTGTAACAATGAGATCAACTTGGTGTAACTAAATTTCTGTAGCACCTATATATATATCCTAAAATCATGAAGTTTTAATTTTTTTTAACAGATAATAGGTTAAAGCAAAAAAAAAAAAAAAAATCAGCAGACAGGATTGTAAACCTGGTTTACGTAACGGATATGCCAAAACTCAACAATTTCGGTAGAAAGGGACTTTAGAAAAAAGTACAACATAAGCAGTAAATGGAGAGGTAAAATGTGGACAACGTTTCCATCTATCTGCCTTTTGTTAACATAGATTGCATTACTTTCATGATAAGAATAGCTACTGTCAGCCTCGTAAGATCTCGTAGCAGATGAAGGCACTGGCCAGTTTGATTTCCAGAACCCACTTAAAGGTGAACAAAGAAAACTAGCCCCACAAAGCTGTCCTGACCTCTACATATGCACCCCTCACAGACACATCGTGCACACACAATTAATAGATACACATTTTATTTTTTTAGTTTATTTATTTATTTATTTTTTTGAGAGATAGGATTTCACTATGTAGCTCTGGCTGCCCTGCAACTCACTATGTAGACCAGGATGGCCTTGAACTTCGAGATCTGCCTGCCTCTGCCTTCTGAGAGCTGACATGTGCCACAATGCCACATGATGAAAATTTTAGAGCTAATTTCAAATTATATTTGCTCTATGTCATCAGGCATGGTGGTGCAGGCCTTTAGTCCTAGCACATGGAAGCAGAGGCAAGCGGATCTCTGTGAGTTTGAGGCCAACTTGGTGTACAGAGCTAGGACAGCCAGGGTTACACAGAAAAACCTGTCTCCAAACACACACACACACACAAAAGGATTTATGTCTCATAAAGAAAAAAAAAAAACTGGTCTGAGTACTGGCATATTAGAAGATAAATGATAATGTGATCCTCTTGCCTCAGCTTCCTCAGTGCTAACGTAATAGGATTACACCATTCTGCCCCGCCAAAACATAGCAGTCCCCCCCATACACACACACAGGGTTTCTTTGTGTAGTTTTGGTGCCTGTCCTGGATCTCACTCTGTAGACCAGGCTGGCCTCGAACTCACAGAGATCCGCCTGCCTCTGCCTCCCGAGTGCTGGGATTAAAGGCGTGCGCCACCACCACCCGGCTCTAAACATAGTAGTTTTGACAATCTCCCAAGAGGCAAAACTGAGGGCTGCAGGATAAAGGATGCTGAGCTGTCATTTCACTATGCAGAACTCACCTGCCATCTGTGTTATAATGCAGTTCCATCACCGCTCCACTATGTCCCTTCAATGTAGCATAGTTATCACAGTCACCATAGACATTCCACAATACTGTTAAGAAGAAAACCCATCATCAGTCAGAGAAAGGTTAATGTAAAATAACCAGAATAATATTTCTGAAATTATATGCCCATGGAACATCATTGATACTACCAATGAGACCAATCTTCTCAACACAAAAATTCCAGTGTGCACACGCACACCTGCTCATGTGCTCAGGTGTGAATGTACATGTATGCCCATGTATGGAAGCCAGAGAGGACAACCGTGGGTGCTGTTCATCAGGCACCATCCACCTGATATCTTCACTGGCCAGGAACTTGCCAAGCAGATTGGGCTGGCCAGCTGATAGGCCCAGGGGTCTACCTGTCCACCTCCCCAGAGATAAGACTGAACCAGCTTATAGGCCCAGGGGTCCACCTGTCCACCTCCCCAGAGATAAGACTGAACCAGCTGATAGGCCCAGGGGTCCACCTGTCCACCTCCCCAGAGATAAGACTGAACCAGCTGATAGGCCCAGGGGTCTACCTGTCCACCTCCCCAGAGATAAGACTGAACCAGCTGATAGGCCCAGGGGTCCACCTGTCCACCTCCCCAGAGATAAGACTGAACCAGCTGATAAGCCCAGGGGTTCACCTGTCCACCTCCCCAGAGATAAGACTGAACCAGCTGATAGGCCCAGGGGTCCACCTGTCCACCCCCCCAGAGATAAGACTGAACCAGCTGATAGGCCCAGGGGTCCACCTGTCCACCCCCCCAGAGATAAGACTGAACCAGCTGATAGGCCCAGGGGTCCACCTGTCCACCTCCCCAGAGATAAGACTGAAAGCGCATGCTGCCCTACACCGCTTTACGTGAGTTCTGCAGATTGACTCAGGTCCTAACTGACTAAGCAAGTTTCTCAGGCTTACCTTATTAGATAAAATGTGTATGAGTGTTCTGTCTGCAAGTATGTACATGCATCAAATGCATGTCTGCCTATGAAGGCCAGAAATGGAAGCTAGATCCCACAGAAATGGAGTTAGAGATAGTTGTGAGCCACCATGTAGGTACTGGGAACCGAACTTGGGCCCTCTACAAGAGCAATATTTGTACTTTAACTGCTGAACTATCTTTCCAACACCTCTCAGCTTTAATTTTAAAATGTTGATACTTTTTCTTACATGCTCAGAATCTGTAGACAACCTGAAAACAGAACCACTGAGCTCTATCTCCTCAGCTTCATTTTTCTATTTATTTTTTAAAAAGATTAGTATTTATTGATGTGTACGGAAGTGTGTGCGCACAGACATCCTCAGAGGTCTGAAGAGAGCATTGGATTCCCTGAACCTGTATTATAGGCAGTTATGAGCCACTTGATGTCAGGAGCTGGGAACTGAACTCAGGTCCTCTGGAAGAGCAGCAAGTGCTCTTTTTCTCCTTTTCTTTTCCAGACAGGGTTTCTCTGTGTAGCCCTGGCTGTTCTGGAACTCCCTCTGTAGACCAGGCTGGCCTCAAATTCAGAGATCTGCCTACCTCTGCCTCCTGAGTGCTAGGACTAAAGGTGCTGCCACTCCCTGCTAACACCTGCTCTTAACGGATGAGCCAGCTCTCCAAATTGCACTTATTTTTCAAATATGGGTATTTCTAATGAGTAGCTGAGAACCTGGTAGCAGATGATTTAAGTGAGTCACCACAAGAGGATCCCATCTTTCTCCCTCATATACTAGGATCCTAGGTATAGATTAAGGTCTCCTGTTTTCATAAGCAGAAACGTTCTTTCTTTCCTCTTAACTCTCAGTAAGCCACTGTCACTAAACTGATGCTCTTGCTGTCACTAAACTGATGCTCTCAAGAGCTGTCTCCATGAAAAATCCATCTTTAGCTGCTCTTGGTAGCACAGGCCTCTAATTCCAACAATTGGGAGGCGGAGGCAGGAGGATTAGATGTTCCAAAGTCATTCTCATTAATTACATAGCCAGTTTGAGGACAGCTGGGGCTACATCAGAGTGATAGAAGGAGAATGGGAAGGGAGAAGGGGGAGGGGCGGGAGGGAGGAGGAGGAGAGAGAAGAATATATAACTCCAACCAAAGCAACCCAATTAGTAAAATGTTTCCTTCCTCTTTATTTACCATATGGACCTATGGTTGTACCTGAATGATTGCTCAATATTTTGATACCTGTTTTAGCACATTATCACTATAATTTAACTTACAAATTTAGACTGATGCCTGATACCTTCCATGGCATCCGAAATTAAAAAAAAAACAAAAAACAAAAAAACCATTATTTAGCAGAGAGCAGTAACTCGAGATTCAAAAACTGTGCCTTACGTATGAGTCGGTCAAATCCTGAAGATGCCAAGGTGGATCCATTGGGGTGAAACTTGCAGCAGTACACTTCTCCTTCGTGTCCCGAGAGCAACATGATTGGGGCTTGAAGGGAGGAACATCTGGGAGGTCCCTAAACCAGAGAGGAGTGTAAGGCAGCCACTGTACACAGGCAAAGGGCGCTGTGAAGTTGGAGGCGGTGCGTTTCACTTGGGTTAGGGAACGGCACCTCTGTCCACAGAACTCCCACCTCTCGCTGGATAAGCCCTTGGACATTCCAGTATGCCCACCACAGTACTCTCCTGCCTAACTCTGCTTTTGTTCTACAACCAACTTTGGACCACTTAATCATGCTGACCTCATTTATGCCTCGGGATCTTAACAGAGCTCGCAGAGCTCTCCTCCTATTTGGCTCCTTTTAAATATGTCCTCCCTGGAGTCTTTAACACTCAAACTCAGGCAGCTGCCATCCCCCAGCAGTGCTCCATAAGCTCCACTGCATTCTGTCAAAGCCCCATCGCTATCCGAGTTCCCTTCATTGCTGATGTGGTTCTTTTCCCCCAAAGAAATGAAGGTCTGGGAGCGCAGGAACAACGTTTCTCAGACTCTAGCTCACCCAACCAGCCTTTGCAAAACCCTGCATGGGACAACTCATGATGCAAAATAGATTTTTGGGGTGTGAGCAGGGCTTTGATATGTAGCCCAGGCTGGTCTTAAATTTTCAGTCCTCCTGAGTGCTGGTATTACAAGTGTGCATCTCTATGCTCGATTTGGCAAAGTGGTTTCTGATTATGGTCTTGGACACTAAGCCTATGTTTGGCAATTCTTCCAACTCTGGGCCAACAAATTTACTTGACAAATAAGAGTAAGTGTACTACCAATAACCCTGAAATCTCTTTGGCAGATTCCAGTATACTAACTTATTTTTATTATCATGTATTAACTATACAAAGTAATGGGTTTCACTGTGAAATATCCATAAATGCAAATAATGTACCATGATGATATTCATCCAGTATATTTATTTTTAAAAAAAAAGTACATGTGGGCCACAGAGATGGCTTAGTGGTTAAGAGCACTTATTGCTCTTCCAAAAGACCTGGGTTCAGTTCCCAGCACCCACACTAGGCAGCTTTCAAGTGCTTGTAGCTCCAGGTTCAGGGGACCCAACAATGTCTTCTGGCCTAGGAGGGGACCCCCCCACACACATAGGGGATAAACATGCATACAGATACACACAGATAAAAGTAAACCTGACACATCTCGGCACTGGAGAAACAGCACTCAATAAAACAATGGACCTTGCATTCTAGTGGAAAGTGTGAGAGAAAGGGAAAGGAAACAAAACAAACAAACAAACAAAACCAAACACCTAGTGCTGTGTGCAATGGAAAGAAATAACATGGGCTGCAGAGTACAGAGTAGTTCAGCTTAAAATACAGTGGTCAGGAAAGCCCCACTGAAAGAGCCAATAGTTAACCAGGTGGGCATTTGGAATAACATTCCAGCAAATGCAACAACAACAAAATGCAAGAACACATATGTTGGTGTTACTTGAGCATGATGATATGCTAGAAAACTGGTAGAGGAGCATGGTAAAAAAAGGGAATTATTACAGAGAATCTGATTTTTTAAAAATTCAGAATGAAATAGCCAACACAATTTTCAGCAGAGAATCATGTGACTTAATGTTTTGACAATTCTCCTGGCTACTGGATTAATAACTGATCCTTGATTCAAAGACAAAACTAGAAATACTAATTAAGCCCCTCCTGCAATGATGCCAGATGACATAAAAATGGTCTGACGAGGAGGTAAGGATTGTGGTTACAGTTCTTTTTTCTTCTTTTTCTCAACAGAGTTTTGCTATAATAGCCTACACTGGCTTAGAAACCACGATCCTTCTTGAGTGATGATTATAAATTTTTGTGTCCAGTTTTTCATTTATTTATTTTGGAGACAGGGATCTTGCTATGTTAAAAAAATAAATTAGTATACTGGAATCTAACAAAGCGATTTCAGGATTATGGTAGTACACTTATTCTTATTTGACAAGTAAGATTGTGACAGCCCAGAGTTGCAGGCTGGCCTCTAACTCCTCCCCTCAAAATTTTCTTGTCAGCCTTCTTCTGGGAAGGTGCAACTACAGCCCCACACCACTAACTTTATTTATGTATTTTAAGGACCATACCAGCAGAATTTAAAGAGTTGGGGCAGGAGGCACATTTATTTTCCTTATTATAGTAGAGAAGGTATGATCACATTTTACAACATGCTGTTGGAAGCATAGGTTCTGACTCCAAAGAAGTCTGCTTTCCCCGTATGCAAAATAACAGTTCCTTTTAGGCTGTTACCAAGATTAATGGAAATTTCACATGCAAAATATCTAACACAAGAGCCAACGGATGTTAATTATTGTTAATAATGCAAATTCAGAGAAAGAGAAAAGTAAATTGTACCAGGTAGCAAAGTGAGCCTGGCTCATTCATTTCCCTTGCTTCCCTTCTCTCTCATTCATTCATTCATTCGTCCATTCTATAAACTTTCCTGAATGTTTATTTTATGCTGAATCCCTGAAGATTTAGGATGCGGAAGTTTGGCTCGTGATTTTGAAGCCAAGGTTTTAAATGCTTCAGTGCTACTTCACAAGACGATTGAAAGGCTGAAAACAGGCGTCCAACAGGGAAACATGTATGAAATAGACTCAGTACACAGGGCACCTTTAGAGACACCTGCTTTAACTTCAGGTCCACTGTCTTTCCGTTCCCCCAGCGCCCGTACGGTCCATAGGGAGAGGAACGGAGGGCCGAAAGCAAGATGCCTCCTCACTTACCGCCTGCAGCAAAGCTCCCGGAGTTGCCTGCTGCTGTCCGGCTCCGGGGCCGGACCCCGCCGCTCCCAACAGCAACTCATGCCGCGGCCGCTTGACGGGAACCAGTGGTAGCTCCGGGCCCTTGCGCTTCGGCTGCTCGATCATGGCGGTAGCCACTCTCCTCGGCGCCGCCACTGACCGCGCCGCCGGCCGCAGGTGCCGCGCAATTGGCTCCGACTGAGTTCTTCCTCCAGAACTTCCGGAGGGGAGCAACCAATCAGCTCCCAACATTCCCTTCTGCAACGCCCTCTGAATACGCTCTTGCGATTGGTCCCCTCTTGATGACGCCACGGGAGCTCAATTCTGGGATTGGAGCGCGGAGCCGGCGTCCCTCCTAGGCGCGCCGTGCATTGTGGGTTGAGAACAAGCGGAGCCGATTTGGCGTTCCTGGCGATGAAGCGGACGCCGGGCTAGGAGACGGGCGCCGAGTGAGTGTGTGGGGGAACGAGGCCGGTGACTGTTCCAATCTGGAAGCTGGGACTAGGTGATAGGCCTGAGCCTACCATTCTCAGCTGGCGGCCCTACCGTGGGGGTTGCGGGGGAACCCCTGGAAAAAGTAGTCCCTTGGCAGGCTAGAGCGGAGCTTTGAGCTCTCTGGCCGCAGGACTCGAACCCTAAGGCCGCTGTCCCTTGACAGCTGCTCTGCACAGCGCCGCTTTTGCGTCCAGCACTGTGCTAGCGTTCCTAGGGATTGATGCCCGACTCCCGGTCTCCCGGCTTCACTGCCTGGTTTGGCTGAGGAGGCGGACTTTGTCACTGGTTCAGCCGTCTTTTTTAAGGGCTTAATTTATGCTCCCAGACAGACAGTGGTGGGGGAAATATCCGAGGGCTCCTCCAAAGTACAATTTTGTTGAGAAAGCTAAGATTCATCCTTGTGTACCAGGCCTTCTCGTAAGCGGTACAAGTGATATTTATTATGCAGAGCGTTGGGGGACACTGAAGAAACGTGGTCCCCAACCTCAGGGCTTTAGTGTCTCTTGGGGGTGTGTGTGGGGGAGACATTGTTAAACAAATCTCCCCAGTTGATTGGAAGACTAGTTAAGAGAGCGATGCCTCATGCTATGAGTAACTAAGAAGCTTGAAGGATTTTCAGAGGAAAAGACCCCCGAGCTGTTTGTTGCTCTCTGAAGGGACAGTTCTGATTAGGGGAAGAGAGGAAGGCAAAACGTTCTGCACAGAACAGCGTGTGAACTAGTGCCCTATCATTTGGGAAGAAGATGACTAAGAGACACAAAGGGCCAGTGTGCTGAGAGAGAGCTTGAAAGGGGGTATGGTACAAAATGAACCCGGAGGTCATGAAGATTTGCAGCCTTAATTTTAAAATTAGTAGGAAACCAGTGAAAGTTTTCTCTCCCCTCCAGGATGTGGGATATGGAGGAGGAGATGGCTTGATTCTTCAGGCTTAATGGTGTTATGAGATTGGAGAGATGAGGCCAGGTTCACTGGAGGCAAATAGACCACTTTGAGAGCATGCTTAGTAGTTCTGATCAGCAATGTCAGTGAGAACCAAGCTGGAGGTGGGACTGAGGATAGTTTCATAGTATCTTGGGATGGCTGGGAAGTAAATTGGATAGGATTTGGTGATGGACTGGATATAAGAGAGGATCACGGTCTTAATGCCAACACTGAGTCTGAGATGGGATTGCTACAAAATCATATCAAGCCTAGCCTGGGCAACACTGATTTTCAACCCATACCAGGCTGCTAGAGTGACACTTTATTTAATCCATCTCCCCAAATTGCATAGGGAATCAGATGTGGTTCATGTTGTGATACCAGCACTTGGGAGGCAAAGACAGTAGAATTTGAGTTGAAGCCAGCCTGGGCTACATAGTGGTAGTCTTTTTCCTTTTTAATGTTTGAAAAAGATTTATTTGTTTTATTTTATGTGTGTGAGTGTCCTGACTGGTTTCATGTCATCTTGACAGAAGATAAGGTCATCTGAGGGGAGGGAACCTCAACTGAGAAAATGCCTCATAGACAAGTTTTTGGGGAATTTTCTTCTCTTTCTCTCTCTCTCTCTCTCTCTCTCTCTCTCTCTCTCTCTCGCTCTCGCTCTCGCGCTCTCGCTCTCTCGCTCTCTCGCTCTCTCGCTCTCGCTCTTGCTCTTTTTAATTTTTTCCCTACATAGGGTCTCATTCTGTAGCCCTAGCTGTCCTGGAACTCACTATGTAGACCAGGCTGGCCTTGAACTCAGGATCCACCTGCCTCTGCCTCCTGAGTGCACGTGTGTGTGTGTGTGTGTGTGTGTGTGTTTGTACCTCATGAATGTCTGGTTCTAGCAGCAGTCAGAGAGGGCATCAGGTCTCTTGGAATTGAAGTTATGGATGGTTGTAAATCACCATGTAAGTGCTAGAAACCCCAAGTCCTCTGGAAGAGTAACACGTACTCTTAACCTCTGAGCCATCTCTCAGCCCCTACATAGTGAAATTCTAGCTTACAAAGCCAGGGGCTGGGGAAGTAACCTCTGGTTCAATCTTTAGTATTGCAAAAAGAAAAACAAAACACACCCCCCCAAAAAAAGAACCCTACATAAGGTTTCTGTTCTGTGGGAGGAGCAAACACAAAAGCTTTAGGCAGGGTGTGGTGGTGCACACCTTTAATCCCAGCACTCAGGAGGCAGAGGCAGTGGATATCTGTGAATTTGGTCTACGTAGAGTTCCAGAATAGCCAGGGCTACTTAGAATCTGTCAAAAAGGAAAAGAAGAGAAAGCTTTAGATGTAGCTCTAAATACTCAGATTTTTTTGTTCTTGTTTTTTAGAATTGTCATTTTATGTGTACAGACGTTTTGCCTGAATGTATGTATGTGCTTCATGTATAAGCCTGATGCCTGGAGAGGTCAGAAAAAGGCATCAGATCCCCTGGGACTGGACTTATAAACTGTTGTGAGCCACCATGTGGGAGCTGGCAGTAAAACCTGGCTGCACTGGAAGAACAGTCGATGCTCTCCAATGCTGAAGCTCCCTCTCCGGCCCTCCTCACACTCTCTCCAGCCCTCCTCACACCCTCTCTCTCCAGCCCTCCTCACACTCTCTCTCCAGCCCTCCTCACTCTCTCTCTCTCCAGCCCTCCTCACACTCTCTCCAGCCCTCCTCACACCCTCTCCAGCCCTCCTCACACTCTCTCTCTCCAGCCCTCCTCACACTCTCTCTCCAGCCCTCCTCACTCTCTCTCTCTCCAGCCCTCCTCACACCCTCTCCAGCCCTCCTCACACACTCTCTCTCCAGCCCTCCTCACACCCTCTCCAGCCCTCCTCACACTCTCTCTCTCCAGCCCTCCTCACACTCTCTCTCTCCAGCCCTCCTCACACCCTCTCCAGCCCTCCTCACACACTCTCTCTCCAGCCCTCCTCACACCCTCTCCAGCCCTCCTCACACTCTCTCTCTCCAGCCCTCCTCACACTCTCTCTCTCCAGCCCTCCTCACACACTCTCTCTCCAGCCCTCCTCACACTCTCTCTCTCCAGCCCTCCTCACACCCTCTCTCTCCAGCCCTCCTCACACTCTCTCTCTCCAGCCCTCCTCACACCCTCTCTCTCCAGCCCTCCTCACACTCTCTCTCTCCAGCCCTCCTCACACTCTCTCCAGCCCTCCTCACACCCTCTCTCTCCAGCCCTCCTCACACTCTCTCTCTCCAGCCCTCCTCACACTCTCTCTCCAGCCCTCCTCACACACTCTCTCTCCAGCCCTCCTCACACTCTCTCTCTCCAGCCCTCCTCACACTCTCTCCAGCCCTCCTCACACTCTCTCTCCAGCCCTCCTCACTCTCTCTCTCTCCAGCCCTCCTCACACTCTCTCTCTCCAGCCCTCCTCACACACTCTCTCTCCAGCCCTCTTCACACTCTCTCTCTCCAGCCCTCCTCACACCCTCTCTCTCCAGCCCTCCTCACACTCTCTCTCTCCAGCCCTCCTCACACTCTCTCCAGCCCTCCTCACACTCTCTCTCTCCAGCCCTCCTCACACTCTCTCTCTCCAGCCCTCCTCACACCCTCTCTCTCCAGCCCTCCTCACTCTCTCTCTCTCCAGCCCTCCTCACTCTCTCTCCAGCCCTCCTCACACTCTCTCTCTCCAGCCCTCCTCACACTCTCTCTCTCCAGCCCTCCTCACTCTCTCTCCAGCCCTCCTCACACTCTCTCTCTCCAGCCCTCCTCACTCTCTCTCTCTCCAACCCTCCTCACTCTCTCTCTCTCCAGCCCTCCTCACTCTCTCTCTCTCCAGCCCTCCTCACACCCTCTCTCTCCAGCCCTCCTCACTCTCTCTCCAGCCCTCCTCACTCTCTCTCTCTCCAGCCCTCCTCACACCCTCTCTCTCCAGCCCTCCTCACACTCTCTCTCTCCAGCCCTCCTCACACTCTCTCCAGCCCTCCTCACTCTCTCTCTCTCCAGCCCTCCTCACACTCTCTCCAGCCCTCCTCACTCTCTCTCTCTCCAGCCCTCCTCACACTCTCTCCAGCCCTCCTCACTCTCTCTCTCTCCAGCCCTCCTCACACTCTCTCTCTCCAGCCCTCCTCACTCTCTCTCTCTCCAGCCCTCCTCACTCTCTCTCTCTCCAGCCCTCCTCACACTCTCTCTCTCCAGCCCTCCTCACTCTCTCTCCAGCCCTCCTCACACCCTCTCTCCAGCCCTCCTCACACTCTCTCTCTCCAGCCCTCCTCACTCTCTCTCCAGCCCTCCTCACACCCTCTCTCCAGCCCTCCTCACACCCTCTCTCCAGCCCTCCTCACACCCTCTCTCCAGCCCTCCTCACACTCTCTCCAGCCCTCCTCACACTCTCTCCAGCCCTCCTCACACTCTCTCCAGCCCTCCTCACTCTCTCTCTCTCCAGCCCTCCTCACTCTCTCTCCAGCCCTCCTCACACTCTCTCCAGCCCTCCTCACACTCTCTCCAGCCCTCCTCACACTCTCTCTCTCCAGCCCTCCTCACTCTCTCTCCAGCCCTCCTCACTCTCTCTCCAGCCCTCCTCACACTCTCTCTCTCCAGCCCTCCTCACACTCTCTCTCTCCAGCCCTCCTCACTCTCTCTCCAGCCCTCCTCACACTCTCTCTCTCCAGCCCTCCTCACTCTCTCTCCAGCCCTCCTCACACTCTCTCTCTCCAGCCCTCCTCACGCTCTCTCCAGCCCTCCTCACGCTCTCCTCACACTCTCACAGCCTAATTTTGCA